AGTTATTGATGATTTATTCTCCTTTTAAATGCACCTTTTATTCCTTCATTATATAATATTAAAAACTGAGGAAAGAGCTCATGATTTGTGTCCTAATGGTTCAACTGTTGTTATTTAGCTGGTTGTAAACTCTCTGCCTCTCATGTAGACTCACATAGATGGTGTGGTTCTCCTGCTCAATTCACTTTCATTTAGGGACAGATGGAGTCGGGGTTTGAGTCGCCAGCCCTGCCGTTACTCAACATCTTGCACTATGAGACTCTACATATAGAGCTCTAACGCTAACTCAGTCGGGACCACTACAGTGAGAACAAGGTGAAGAGCAGACCCCAGGTCAGGTCCAGCAAAGTTGAGACTAATTGGGATGCAAAGCAGCTTACAGATGTTTAAATAATGCATACCAAATAAGATTAAACAGGCGTCACTGATTCATTTCTTATAAGGGACCAAACTGCAAGCCCAGTGATGGAAGCAATGCAAGTAAAAGTGGTCATACTTTAGTATACACCTATTCGTCCACTGGGGGAGTAAAAATCCAGCTTTACTAAGTAAAAGTCGAGGTTAGCGTTAGAGTTTTATCACAAAAAGTGCCTTTTGATCCGAATCCCCACTTTTATTAGATGCGTTGGGTTCAGATTTGCATTGAGGAGGTTTGGCAGGATGTCCTGCTGTGGGAGCACAGAGTGGGACTCTGTTGCTGCTTCTCAGATACAGATTTAGCTTGAACAAGAAAATCTGGGAGCGATCATCCTGATGTTCTCAAATATCACAAACTGGATCCAAGGACTCAGGTGATGCAGAGTGTGGAGGAAGCTTCAGGCTTGGTGGTTAAATGCGCCATCCTGTTAGCAAGTGGAAATTCAAATGGAATTACTGGAGTTATTTTAATCAGTGATTCATTCAAGTTATTGATCAAATTAAAATATATAACCTGCAAAAGTGCCCAGTGATTAAAACTGTTAACATGATGCATAAAGCTCCAGAAAAAGGAAAAAAATACCAACATGCGGTTAGAACAAAGTCGTACAAAAGTGAATCTTCTGCGTCCTCGGCACTTTAGTTATGTAACATTTCTACGTTACCATTTTCATGCAGCGAGCTCAAGTAAAGCAGGGGCTCAGTGTTGTTGTCTGCCCTCAGTCCTGATGTCAGTAAACAAACGTTCAGCGTTCAGGAGTTTATGAAGCGGGGACTCCTCTACCCCCTCCTCTATTCCCACGTCGCGCCTCGACTGGTCGGCTCACGCTCAGCGATGTGTGGACGAGGCAGCTGTGGGCTGTAGCGCGTGTTACGCCGCCAAAATGACGTTTAAATGTGATTCATCGGGCCGCTGGTCCAGATTCCCGCTGTGGCTTCCACTCAGGTGGGATGCTCATTTGGCATCAAGTTGAACTAACCTTCATTTTACTGGAATAAAACGCCTCCTGCAGCGTGACCCTGCACGCCCAACCAGAGCGCCTCGGCACTCCTGCGTGTCTGTCTTCAGTCGCAGCACATGGATTGCTTCCAGCCCTCATTTCTCTGATGAATAAATGATAAATGATTCTAATAAAATTTCACAAACTGTGTAGGGATTGCAGATTTTATTCTAGGTCAAATATACACAACAAACTTTACCATTAAAACCTTTATTCGAGCAGAGTGCCTCATTTTTGCAAGTGAGACTTCAAGTTATATAAAGTTTAAAGATAGAGACGTGGAGACACAGAAATTCATTTATTCTATTATTATTGTATTCATGGGCAAAAATATTGTGACCCCAGTTGACTGAAAAAAGTCCAGTTAAGTCATGTGACTGAACTTCAGTGATCAGTTCCCTCTGTGTAAAGTCCATGTTTCTTAGTCTGTGTTTGTGAATTGTTTCCTGTTTTATTTTGAAGGGTTCTGTCTGATGTCAGTGTTTCTAGCTTCGCTCCCCCGTCTCGTTAGGTCTCATTCCTCCCAGCTGTGTTCCCCTGCTGTCTCTAATTCCTCGATGACTTCCTCAGTGTGTTTAAGCTCCATGTTTCTTTGTGTCCGTGTCGTGTTGTACCGTCAGATTTTGCCTGTGTGTCCAGTTTGTGGGTTTTCCCAGTTAGGTTTCTGTTTTGTTTTCTGCCAGCAATAAAGCTGTGGTTTGTGCGCTGCACTCAGTCTCTGAGTCCTGCGTTTGGGTCCTCACCTCCGCCTGCCTGCACACCGAGCCCTGACGCTGTCATAGAAATCCAAACAAAGACGAGAGCTGGAGTTCCACTGGATCAGGAAGGAAAATGAGAAACTGCACGGGTTGTATGTTCCTTTAAGACAAGGGTGTCGGACTCCAGGCCTCGAGGGCCGGTGTCCTGCAGGTTTTAGATCTCACCTTGGGTCAACACACCTGAATCACATGATTAGTT